TTCTGTTCTATTGGCAATGTCTCTTCTAGTCTAGCCAGCCTAAAGCAAATTGACTTCTTCGAGACTCCAGCGACCAACCGAACCTCCCACATGCAATTTGTATTCCAAAATCACTTCTGGCCTTTCCCTACTAAAATTCCAAGAGGGGGGGGGAGGTTTGACAAAAGCCGAAAGGCATCGCATCACCCTGTTTAATCCGATAATAACATTTATTTCGCAATCTTAAAACTTCAATTAACTCTATGACAATGTTTATTACATAGTTCAAACCGCTGTTACGGCGTACAGAAACTGTTAGTTCGTCAAATGGATAGAATATGAGATGTGCTCCCAACGTTGACACCGTGGTTTTGGTGGAGCTTGGAAGCACGATACTGATAGCTGAATGTCATTAAGAAATTTACTGCCTACCACTCAAGTTCTTCCACCCAATATGCGTCTGAGCCGCAGTCTTTTCCTACTTTTGATGGTGGCGCTACTTTCACGCGCTAAAGGCGCCTTAAGTAAAAACGTAAACAACCTCAAGTTGGCGGCGACGACCACGATCCTCGAATCCTCCTCCAAGCAAAATACACGGCTCTTGAGAGCGTACGAGGCGGACGATGCCGACAGCGAGGAGAGAGCACCGACTCTTACGGGTGTCTTTTCGGATAAAGAGCTTGCACCTAAGGCTGCCGCCAAGCTGATTAAGAGCAAGTCTCTTTCGAGAACGGCTTTAATGACCATGGACGATGTAGACGACGATCTTGCTCTCTTAACAACGATGTGGGTACGCAACCTTGGTGTGCTCAAGAAACTCGAAGAAGTGGGATACACCCCAATCTCTCTAGCTGCAAAGCTCAACGTCAACACGAAGCCCCAGTCCTTGACTAAAACTCAGCTGGCAGACAAGTTGGTAGATGACCAATATTTCGCTACCTGGTACCTTTTTTTTTTACCAGATACTGGAAGTCGGCTCACCCCGGCAATGCCAACTAACTACCGAGCTTTTCCTACCCTGCGAGTCAGCAAGTCGTCTAGATGGCTGGGTGATCATATTTTAGTTGAACTTGTTTTAACTGGAGTATAGACTTCACTTGTTCTTGGGATCTATCGATGCGATGTTTCACTGAACACTTTTGTTTCCGCTTAAATCAATATTGGCAAATAGATGTTTTGAGTGCGGACACGAGGACTAAAAAAACTCCGAAAATACTTCGCGCAATATTACTGTACCACCGTTAGACTCTTTCATAAATCATTATTATCATGATGTTGTAATGCCTCTTTTTATCAAAGCCTTGTTAATGATCGAGCCAATAGTTTATGCTGGTTCAAGCTGCAACTATCTCTCAGGACAGTTGAATATGGTAAGATAGGAGTTCCATTCCATGCCATCGTGTAGTGGGCGCTGACAGACACGTACAAAACTTTTCACTGCTCGAAACGTGAAAAATTGCTGCCGTGGTGGTTGATTCAGTTCATATTTTGAGAAGTGGTGCCTTAGATTTTTTGCGTCGCTCTACAGACTCCAAAAATACAGCACTTTCCCACCAAACATACATTTTTGCTGTAGAATGGATCTACAGGCGCTTATCTTGGGCAACATTATCCTTAAGCGACCAAACAAAAAGTGCAAGTTTGACCGAGTTTTGCTTAATCTATTAACACGTTGGTTCAACCTGCAGCACTCCGTGTGTTGATTGGTTAATCTGTCAACGTCACAGATAAGCAAGCTTTATTTAACTGAACATGGTGCTAGTTTTTTTT